TACTTCCATTATTTCTGTGTTAAAATAGCTTGATAGATTCATTTGCTTAAGAAAGTCCGGGAATTAACGAGAATACTAGAATCCGCAGAAACCTGAATAGACTTGTATTTGACAGTTAGTTAAAAGACGTTACGTAAATATGTACTAAAATGTAGGTTAAAGGCGTATCTCTTAAAGTAATTTTTATATTTTGTTTAGTAAGTACAATTAATACTATGTAATGTTATATACCAGTAAAGTAGGTATAGGTAGGGCAATGTTAAGTGTGTGCGTTAAAAAAAAGTAAGAGTGCGCATGTCGCCAACAAACTGCACAACAGTTTGGTGACTATTACTAAATAAGTTACCAGTTAAAATTGCTTGATAGATTGATTTGTTTAAGAAAGCCAGTAACGTGAATACTAGAATCCGCAGAAACCTGAATAAACTTGTACTTGACAGTTAGTTAAAAGACGATATGTAAATATGTACTAAAATGTAGGTTAAAGACGCACCTCGTAAAGTAATTTTTATATTTTATTTAGTAAGTACAATTAATACTATGTAATGCTATATACCAGTAAAGTAGGTATAATTAAGTAAGAATGTCGCCAACTAACTGCACAGCAGTTTGGTGACTTTACTCGATAAGTTACCAGTTGTAATCTTGAAACTAAAATTTTAAAAAAGTTTAAAATTGTGTGTTGACATTTATAATGATATACCACTCGAGATTAAATTAAATTATTAGACTTGTGTTTGTTTAGGCATACTTTAGTTACAGTAAACTAAAGAAACAAAAAAAACAGTTTCACATTCAAGCCTTACATTTGCATGTCGATAATGACTTATCGATAGATTATGGTTCAACACTAAAGAAATCCGCCATTTGTAACTTTCAAATTTTGGTTATATGCACGTTGATTCTGTAGTTAGGGCAGCTCCTTTCTTTTATTTTTTTCCATCCTCTAAGGTAGACCCCCAGAATAAAAACACACAAAATTCACTTGAGTAGTGAGAACCTATTTTTATTATCTCCTGTGTCAAGTCCCGTAAAGTGGCGAACTAGGGGATGAACCCGGGTTTGCTCAGTTTCCGGTAACTGATTTCAATAAAACTGGGTAATTATATGTAATACCATGTGCTTTTGAGGTCGGCTTTTTTAGTACTCTGTACTAAGATTATAGAGCAAAAATTTCTTCGAGTGTTTTCCAAAAAAAGCCCAATATGTCAGACGTCCGCTAACTAAAATGCGGATAAGTGACAACACAAGTTTTTGAGATATCATAAAAAAAAACTTTAATCCAATTTTAGAATATTGAAATTGTTTAATGATATATCAGTTATGCTTCGTTAGCGTAGGTTCCGATAAGTCGAACACGTTAACTAATTTTAACTGTTTTTAAAAGAGCGTTTGGATCTATTTTTTTCTATTTAAAACGGATATTTGTCACTTACCCGCATTTTAGTTAGTGGACGGCAGATATGGCCCGTACAAAATACGACCGTCAATAGAAAATTTTGTACACGTTCCAATGTTAGGTACAAGTAGTATACAAATTAGTTATTAAATCTCTATTTCTAAAATGCATAGTTACTTAACAAAACTCAACAATGACATTGATATAAATAAATATAAGGAGAAGTTTAAATAAGTTACGTATATAATGCCATGAAGTGACCTTTGAAGTTAAGGTTACAAAGTTCATAAAACACTAGTACTGTACCCGACGTACAATACCACTAAAAACGTGCTTACCGATGAATCTAATACTTAAGAAACTTTTACGGGCGTGTGCACAACAACTCTCGAATCTTTTATCGGGACTGGAATATATCGCCTTAACCCTCTCCTTCGTGCAATCCGACAGCAATGCGATCTAATAATTCAGAAAAAATTGCGGCTGTGTGCACAATAACTGGTAGTTTAGTAGCAGTAGAGCTGCTCTGAAAAAGTTCATTCAGGCAAGTGGCAGTGCCCCTAAGATCTTTGTAATTTAAGGCTCTGAGTGCAACTGTTATGAATAGGCTTCACTTACTACCAGGCGTACGACTTGTTGGTCCAGTCCCTTGTTATTATAAAAAATGGCAAAACTATTTATGACAATGACACCATGGAACACGATTTTTGTTTCTAAATTATCATGACGTCACTTTCTAATTAGTTGTAACGTAAAAAAATAAAAATTAAATTTCATTTTCCACCAAAAGCTTTGCTTTTGAGGTCAGGACAACGGAAAATTATAATTTGCGTACCATTAAGAAAACATACAAATTTAAGGTAATAAAATAGAATTGTAGCGAATCGCAGCAGTCTCTACAAATCTCTTTTGTATATATTCTCTATAGTCTTTTTAAGTTTAGGTTTAAATTTTAAATTCTAAATTTAAATGTGGTTGTTTTTAGCTGTACGTGTTTTGCAATAAATTAATAAACTGTAACTTTGGTCATGCTCACTCGTTGATAGCACCCACCCGAACCCATTGATACAGTCCGCTACAAATATATTTCCACCAAGATTCTACAAATGACAAAAGAACCTAGAAATGTCTACATTTGTAAGGTTATGTAAATACCACTGTAACAGCCACAAAAGCAGTTTCAGATGTATAGCAACTCTTTAGACCAGCACCAGTACCACCTGAAATTACATAACACATACATTGATTTGGCTTCATTAAAATTTCAAATATCAAGTTTATTTACTCCTACTAATCGGCAAGATTTGAGACCCGCTTCTAAATCGTGAATTGTGACTTAGATGCATCTAATTCCTCTTTGATTTTGCTACAAACATTATTACAATTTTTTTGCTTGAGATTGAAGAGGATTCTCAGTAAGTATTGCTACAAAATCGTAATTTTCAAGCATAGACTTACAAATATTTTCAAGTGAAAAAATTTAGCATACGGCTGTCTGACAAGTAATATTTTGAATTAACATGTGACATGTTAACTAACATTGCCAGATGAAAGTCGTTCGATTTTTCTTATATTTAATGCCATGAGATTCTAGTACATCTACATACATTATCAGTACGATATATACATATACAGATTGATTCCTAACCTCGAAAAATTATTTTTGATTCTATTTATAACAAATCCGATTAGCATTGAATGCAGGTAAGTTATATAACATATTTTTATTTATTGTAAATGACGATGCGCATAGAAATATGCAGCTATCTGAGAAACGAAATCATAATTTACATAAAAAATATACAAAATAAAAATTTAATTCATTCAGCCATACTAACAGTCATATACACGAAATTTACAGAGACAGCCGTGATTGGGGAAGAGAGTGACCGGGGGACACTTGTCTCCTGCGTAGGAGATCTAGGATACGATTTCCAGCACTGGGCGTGCACCACTTTGTTGCTTAAACGATGAAGTTTTAGTAGAGCGTCTTGTGAAAGAGTTCATCCAGGGAAGTACTGCCACCTTATCTATTTCTGCAGCCAAGTAGTAATATCAGCATTATTATTTACATATTTATTTACATTACTGTGCTCTGGGTTTGAACTTTAAGGTTGCTGGTGAAATTACAGGCACATGGGACTGTTCAACTTATGTCTCAGGGTAACGGGCGCAGTGGCAGTGCCCATCAGATCTTTGAGATTTGAAGAGCTGAGTAGCACTGCAACTGTTATGGACAGGCGTGTAGCTTACCATCAGGTGCACAACTTGTTTGTCCCGTCACTTGATATTATAAAAAAAAAGAAGGAAAACATCGTGAAGTCAACTACACGTCGAAGATAACGTCTTCGTAACGTGATTCTTAGAAAATTTACTGTTACGATCAACCTGTCTGGGGCATGGCAAATTATGGCCTCCGTTAAGGGAACGTCTGCAGAAAAGACACGTGCCCAGGCGTGGAATATATACGGGTTAGTGACGATAATAACATGACATTCTTGTACCTACTGTATAAGATTAATATACGCTATAATAGCAGCTATATATTATTTTAAGTCATTTTACTAGCTTTTTAATAACAGCTAAAGGTAATAAAAAAGGTGTATAATAAACGTTACAAGTCAATTTTATAATATAAGTAAGTAAATAAAGACAATTTTATATTCTTCACAATTGTATCAAAAAACATAATTGGAATACAGTATTAATTTACACCACATACATACCATCAATTCTGCGTTCGTCTGGGGTAGACAGAGAATGCGGATCTTGACATACTATGTTCCTGCATATTTTTTCGTTTCGTCCACACGCTTCATTTACCTGCCCTTTTTGAAAGACAACCGCAATGTGGTTATGTTATTACGCCGATATGCAATGTTCCCCATATTTGTATGTTAATTTAAACATCTTTCACACCACAACGCGCTCTTATTACACTATTCCTCCGTCTTTCTCTAAGAGGTTATTTTTTTTATAATAACTAGTCGGGCGCCTGATGATAAGCTACACGCCTGTCCATAACAGTTGTACTGGCACTCAGAGCTTTAAATCGTAATATATCTGAGGGGCACTGCCACTGTGCCCGTCACCCTGAGACAAGTTGACAAGTGCTATGTGCCTATAATTTCATCAGCACTCTTATCCTTCAAAACGGAACACTGTAATGCAGACATTATTGCTTGGCGACAGAAATAGGTAAGGTGGCAGTACTTCCCTGGACAAACTCTTTCACAAGTCTACCGACGCTAACGCTACTGAAATTTTTTCACCATTCAATATTATTATATTATTCACACCTGCGTAGCTCTAAAACAGTTGTTGTTCTAACAAAATTATGCCAAATGTCGGAGTCAATATTGTAAAAACATTGCAATAAAAAAATATTCGAAAACTCACTACAAATATGTTCAACTTCTCTTGGAAATATTTAATGAAGCGTGGGGAATTCATAGTGAAAGCCGAAGCTTGTTCTTTACTCTGTATTACGATATATTTGTACTGAAACGTCTCTTTGTAATCATTTCCTTATATTAAATTAGAAAACCTTCCAACTCATCCCAATATTTCCTCATTCAACAGAAAGTAAAAATGTTCTTACCAACATCTCGTTTACTTCTTGGATGACAGTAGAGTGGGCAGACTTTAAGACAAAACAATATGGGCTCCGTTTTCACTGAAAATAACGAGATTACAAATATTACTCAAAAATATACACGGATCACGGCAGCTTAACGGTTGTGTAATACACTAAGACGCGGTGCTGTGGTAATATAATTATATTATTTTCTTCGGTGAAACACAGAACTAATTGCAAAATATTGTGAAACCATTTTAAAAGCGTACATTATACAAGAAAACAGAGATACATTATGTATTCCTTCAATTTTCTATAGAGGGGGCAATGCAAATAGTATAACGTTTAAAAACTCTTCAATTGTGTTCAGTAGCCGTCGTAGTTTTTGGGGGTTGATATTGCTCGCTTCGGTTTACCCTCAAGACCCCACAAGTGACACCTGAGTGGTGCTAAAGAGCAACAACTACTGGTGGTAGGCTTCGGCCGTGGCTAGTCACCACCCTCCCGACGTAGTCGAGTCGCCAAATGGTTGTCACCATGTTCCGACTCGTGTTCGGGAGTTGCCATGCTCCACCTTGCCAGTTGGCGACCGGAGGGGAGGACCAGGTGGCCATCTCCGGGGAGATTCGGGTGTCCCCGCGGTCTCCAAACCGATTGTACCCTCGTGTGGCAGTGTGAGCTTTGCTGCTTGGTTGAACACGACGCAGTGCCTCGTTCAACTGCCTTCCTCCTGCCTATTCACTTCCCTAAAACAATAATATGAAAAACAGAAACGGTAATAAGTTTACACAGCGGTTGCACGCCCTCCCACTAAATATGCACCTCACTAATATCCGAGGTCTGCACTCAAATCTCCATTTGGTCCGCCATCATCTTGAAACCGATAAACCGCAGCTGCTGTTCCTCACTAAGACGCAGATCAGATGTCCGACTGGCTTACCTCAGCTACCCCGGGTATACCCTGGAGCACAGGTTTCTACCTCGTGCCGGAGTCTGTGTGTACGTTCGTGATGACATCTGTGTCAAGCGTCTCAAGAACCTTGAGGCACCGAGTTATTCTGTTTTCTAGCTTCTAGTAGACACAGGAGTTACACAAATAGTGTACTGCTGTGTTTACCGATCGCACAGTGGATATCAGGAAACAAGCTGTTCCAATATCTGAGTGAGACGTCTGATGAGATTCAACATAGGTACCCAGCGGCGCAACTAGTCATTCTGGGGCACTTTAATGCACACCATCAAGAATGGTTGTTCCCATACCAGATGACCGATCATGCTGGGAGAGAGACGCGTAAACTTGCGTTAACGTTAAGCCTCTCCCGGCTTGTCAGTGGTGCCACTAGGATACCAGATGTTGAATCTCATACGGCTAATTGCTTGGACCTTCTGCTGACAACTGATCCGGACCGATACTCTGTGGTTGTGGATGCCCCACTGCGTACTTCCAACCATTGTCTGGTGAAAACTGTATCCGGCGATACAGGTTAGCAGATTGAGATGAAATGCGCCTTTTCTTTGCGTCATATCCTTGGCAGGTTTGCTTTTCTTCAGGAGACTCGTCGAGCCGTGCTAATGCTGTAGTCGAGGTCTTGCGTTTGGGTATGGAGTATTACATACCATACTCCGATGTACCCCAATGGACCCCAAGCTCGTCCATGGTTTAACGCTCACTGCAGTCGTGCTGAAGTACAAAAGCAGTCCGCGTACCAAGCATGGGCAGATGCTCGACTGTGTAAAGCTCCGAGTACTCGGAATCTGAAGAAAGCTTTTAATATAGCCGCCAAAAAGTGCAAAAGCGTGTTACGTAGGGTCAAGCTCGACCACTTGCGCCGCAGAGGGGCCAAGCTTGCCTCTTATCCAGCAGGTAGCAAATCCTGTTGGTCCCTGGCCAAAGCGGTCCAAACCAACTTTTGTCACCCATCTTTGCCACCTCTGCTGAGGCCTGATGGCACGCTGGCCCGTACTGCAGAAGAGAAGGCGAATCTCTTTGCCTCATTTTTTGCAGAGAGTTCGCGTCTGGATGCCGCAGGAAACGTACCACCTACCTTACCTCAGGCTGGCTGCGCTATGGCGCCAGTTCGCATACGCCAAAAAGAGGTACTTAGAACTCTGCGGAATCTTGACGTGAACAAAGCGGGCCAGATGGAATTCCAGCGGTAGTCCTACGTACGTACTCTTTCTGCTGCATATCAATGATATGTTAATTCCAGGTACCTTTGCGTATGCTGATGACAGCACAGTTGTAGATAGGTACTTGACCAATGCAAAGGTCAATGGAGAGGAAATTCAGTCTTGTCGAGAGTCCATGGTTAGCCGTTTAGATTTGACGCTCAAGGCAGTCTCCGATTGAGGCGATGACAATCTTGTCAAATTTAAAGCTACCAAAACGCAAGCGTGTCTATTCTCCACAAAACGGAGTCCTTTTGAGCTGACTCCGACTTTCCGTGATATTTCCATACCGATAGCCGACCGTCTCCAGCTACTTAGAATGGACCTGTCGTCCAATCTGAACTTCAGCAGGTACATTGAATCCATGGCCAAAAATGCAGCCAGGAGGCTTGGCATCCTTTCCAGGATGAGGCGTTACTTCGCACCGGGACAGTTGCTTCAGCTGTATCAAGCACAAGTCCGGTCGTGTATGGAGTACTGTTGCCACCTTTGGGATGGCTCTGCTACATATCAACTGGCCACCTTGAATTTAATTGACAAGCGTGGCAAGAGGCTTATAAGTGACTCGGAATTAGTAGAGGCAAAGCTGCAGAGCCCTGAACACCGCCGTAAAGTTGCCTGCTTATCGGTATTTTACGGTATTATATCACGGAGAGTGTGCGATGGAATTACACGATTTAATTCCGCCTTCCCTTTTCCATCATCGGGGGACTATGCGTAGGCTTGGCTTCCACCCCTATGTTGTGGATATTCCAAAGATTCGCACGAAGCGTTACGCTTCCACATGTATATCGCGAACGGCTATGGAGTGGAATTCCCTGCCTACAGATTTGTTCCCTGAACTTAATAACCTAGACCTTTTCAAGGCGAGAGTGTATAGGCATTAGCTAGGTGGCGCGGGAGCCCTGGCGTAAACTAGGGCGGCCGGGCGGCGTCGTGGTGAATGTTCACTGATCCCACGGCGCCGACTCAACTGGCGAGAGGGAAACCCGGGGGGGTTTTAGTGGGGTAGTCCCTCCAGTTTGGAGGGAGAGTCCCCACATATCTCCTGAGTCTCCCTGGGCTCAGGGGTATCCATAAAGATTTCCCACCCGTCAAAAAAAAAAAAAAAAGGTGTGCATGCTCCATCGTCGACGTCGTCGTCACTTTCCATCAGGTAAGATGGAGGTCAAATGTACACTTACATTAGAATAAAAAAAAGCCATAAAAACAAAAAAATAACTCTTTTAACTAGTTTGTAATTTTTGCAAATTTAAGTTAAGTCACAATTTCATTTTTAGGTGCGAAGTATAATTTACGTATACATACCTTGGACCACGTTTCAAACCGTAAAAACGATCACTTTATCAATCTACAAATCTGAACGCTATACAAAATTCATAACATATAAGATACTATTTTTACCAAACAATTTTGACAAATTTTATGTTTTTAAGTGTTATCTACAATAGTTATAATTTTTGTAAAAAAATTACAATAATGAGAAAAAACCTCGAGTTATACTGGAAGTTGCAGAAAGCTTAAACTTGAATATATTTTTATCTGTTTATCTTTGGCTATTCTTAATTTTCCCAAAAGTAAACTTGAAATAACATGTTACAGTTCATACAGAACCATTAAAGTTTATGGATACTACATTTAAGCGATAAACGTGTCCAAAAAAATCAGTATTTTTGATGTCCAATCATCGATTTACCGAATCGATTTTCATTGTTACATGTATAATTCCATAAGTTTTAGTTCGAAAATAAATAATATTATTATTATAGAAAATAACGAAAACCTACCTTTGAATAAAAAGAACGCCTCTGTGATCACAAAACTCCAACTAATTAAGCAAAGTACGAAAGGAAAGAAAAACATATTTTGTTACTAAACTTTTTCAACGCTATTGGAAACCACTCGCGCCTTTCACCGCTCGAAGGAGACAAGTTTTCTTTGAGTTTCTGCGATCTTTTATAATAAGTCATATAGATCTGGTTACGTGTCGAGGAAGAAAAGAAACAAACTGCATTTAGTAGTAATTAACGTTATACGTTTGAATTATATACTTTCAATATAATTGTACATTGAAAGTATCTGACTATCTGTCCCACTGCTAGTCACGGGTCTCCTGTAAAGGAAGGGTTTAGCCCGTCATGCAATGCGGGTTGGGGTCGTCACACGTTTCTCAAGGGATATGAACCTTTATGGGCATAAATCTTTCATCACGATATCTTCCTTCACCGTTAGTGCGTAGGCGCACTGAATCCGATTCTGATTTTTTCCGAATCCGAGACTATATAAATCTAGAAAACTCGTACCCACTTCGGATGTTGCTTATGCACTAAGTCCGATTCGTATTCGAGAAAATATTAATATCGTTTGTACAATTGAGAGATAAAAGGATCCCTGTGAAATTTCGGATCGTCATTTCTCGGATTCAGAACAGACGAATCCGACGTAACACGCAAACGCTCTTACTAAATATTCAGAAATATACGCAAATTAGAAATTAATGTTATTTTTTTTTTTATGCTACCGAGAGACCGGACGAATAGGTCGTGCGCTTGGTGATAAGTACACGCCTATTACATTACAGTGCCACTCAGGACTTTAAATCGCAAAGACCTGAGAGGCACTCTACCCTGAGACATAAGTTGGAAAGTCACACGTACTTGTAATTGCGCCAGCACTCCTACCCTTTAAAACCAAAACACAGTTATACTCACATTACTGCTTGGCGGCAAAAATAGGTAAGGTAACGAACTCTTTTGCAAGGAGCTCTACTGTTACAGAAAAAAGTACATGCCGTCACAGGAATTCGTACTTCGACCTGACCTCTCTATTAGCATATTTATTGAACTATGTACGCTGAGTACTGGTAGGAGACCTACCGAGAAGGCTACTGAGTCATATTCCAGTTATACTAAGAGTTAGGAACTTCATACGGCTTCGCAGAGTTTCGTAAACTTTCCTAACAAACAGGTTTGCTTACTATGTTTTCCCATGCTGTTATTCATAAATCACGTATATTTTTATTTTATGTTTTAGCCGTTTGCTATAACGAAATTCTAATAGGTAAAGTTGTTTTAAACTATATTTATTTATTTAATTAAAATTCACCACTCATATTCACAATTACAACCAAACACGCGAGTTACGGATGTAATTCAATTAACTGTTATTAGCAACTATATAATGGACTTTTGTTTTTTTTATAACATCTACTGACGGGACGAACAAGTCGTGCGCCTGATGGTAAGCTACACGCCTGTCCATAATAATTGCAGTACCACTAAGAGCTTTAAATCGCAAAGATCTGAGGGGCACTGCTACTGCGCCCGTCATTCAGAGACATAAGTTGATAAGTCCCGTGTGCCTGTAATTTCACCAGCACCCTTACCCTTCAAAACCGGAACACAGAAATGCTGACATTACTGCTTGGCGGCAAAAATAGGTAAGGTGGCAGTACTTTCCTGGACGAACTCTTTTCCTGGACGTAAGGTACTTAACAATTGTTGCCCAGGGTGTACCAGACGTTCAGGAATGGAATAGTCAGTCGTGCTGTTTTCGTGCACCACATTACACATAAATAAGATATTTATTAAAAAAATTAGAATTTACGTTTCGGGCCCTTTACAGGTCCTATGGTCACTACTGACGGTAAAAGGCCACAATCGTTGGTTTGTTTGAAAAAACAAACATACGCGATTTAGATCCGAAAAAATCGTTTCATTTCCTATATGTTACAATCGCGAAAACCAAAAACTCGATAAATAGGTACACTTATTTGTTAATCTTTGGATTTTTCGTAGCAATTATTCTCAGCAAAAGGCAAAGTGTTAACAATAGACAAAAGCTTAAACCTTAACATAAAAGTAATGGCGATGGTACCGTCCTACCAGAAACCACAAGTAATAGGAGCAAGGTGATAAACTGCAGGCAATATTGTCAATACGTAATATTTCCGCACCCTCAATGGTCAACGGGCAACCACATGTATAGTAAGTACCCACTATGGTACTAAATTAATACAGGTAAATAAACTAACATTTATATTAAGCATATAATAAACTAGGATGTGGCCATTTAAACTTACCTACTATGCATTATGTAAGGTCTACAAACAGCCAGTTTGTTGTAGCCAGTCAGTTTTTTTATATTTCTTAACCAACTGAAAAAAAGGAGGAGGGTCTTAATTCGACTGCTTTTTTATGTATGTCAATACGCGATTACTCCGTCATTTGTGAACCGATTTCGATAAATTATTTTTTGTTGGAAACGGGTTACCTCAGTAGTGATACCATTCAAATTTGAAAAAATTCTCAAATCAAATATTCCACTTCTAGGAGTGGTAAATTTTACGGATGAATTCTGTTTATTGACTTTCACCCACTTTCCGTTAACCGGTGTCAATAAAACTTGGCAAATAGATGTAATTCCGTAAACTTTTGAGGTGAGTTTCCTTACAAATAAAATTATAATTATTTAAAATAATCATAACTTTTAGTTTGCTTTACTTATAAGTAAACAAGTAATATGTTAAAAAAATATTTATAAGTTTAATTGATGTATGTTAAATAACGTGCTTTTTGTAAATGATATAACAAAAATAATAGATATCTTATCTTACTTGATGTTTTATGGTCTTAACTCATATAAATACTAAATATTTGTCCTAAAAGAAATGCCATACTTGTATTAAAAAAAACGTTTTTTGTGTGAAAAAATGTGCAGTCTTTTTTGCGAATCGGATATTACGTGTTCTGTAGGGAAAATCAGCTATTTGAAATTTCATTTCATCTCGAGTTCTTAGATTTTCATTTCATCTTTTCATTTGTCATTTTGAATTTTACGTAAACGATTTAGGGTTTTTTTATTTAAAAAAAGTTTCACATTGGGATGTCATCCCACTTTAGTATTTTGATTATTAGTTAAAGTACTAACGATATTATTTATATTACCTTTTAAGCGTGACGTTAAAACCGTCATTGGCTCGCACTTAGAAGTGCAGCAATGTAGAAATTATTACACAGATATATTGAAATGACGTACTTTTCCTCATGATGTATTGTCTATTGTTCGTACTCATACATGTATAAACCAATATTGCTTGTGAAAGTTTACTTTCCCAAGTAGGAATAATTTCTAGGCGTTAAATGATCAAATTTTAGAAATATTACAACTTAGTAGCCACAAACCACATAAATACCAAGGTAGTAGCAGTAGAGCTCCTTGTGAAAGAGTTCGTCTAGGGAAGTACTGCCACCTTACCTATTTCTGCCGCCAAACAGTAATGTGAGCATTACTGTGTTCCGGTTTGGAAGGGTAAGGGTGCTGGTGAAATTACAAGCACACGGGACTTGACAACTTATGTCTTTGGGTGACAGGCGCAATGGCAGTGCCCCTAGGATCTTTACGTTTTAAAGCTCTAAGTGTCACTCTTATGGATAGGCGTGTCGCTTACAACCAGTAACCAAAAACAAAACAAATAAATATATGCTATTTAGATCCTGAAATATACTTCCTTTTCCTAAATTGTACACGTTGATAAAACCTTCGAAAAGTTTTTAACTGACTTCCGAATTTTGAATCGTGAATATCGTTTCACGTAATCGTGAAAAATTGTTCAGGTTGTTTTTAAAAAAGCTTTGATATCGGTGTTTCCCGATTCCAGGAAGCTGAGCAAAATTATGGTTTTCTTTAAAAGCCGGTAGCAACTCGGATTCCACCAATTTCGGACCTATTTCAATACTACGATACGATATTATAATTACGCCGTGTGTACATTTTTACAGTTGCAGTGGCAACTCTTCAAGAGTCAACTCTTGGTCGCTCAATAACAAGTCAAACCACTAAACGTGGTCTCATATTCCTAAATTGTATGGTCGCAGGATGCTGACATCATTTACGACAGCTTTGGCAAGCTAATTTTTAAAGCAAACCTAGCGTAACAAATATGTATATTGTATAAGTAATTAGCACGTGAGCGTTATGTTTATTACTGTAAATTTAAATTGTGTTTTCATAAATAACTAAATGAAGTGTGGATATGGCTCCGTGTTGTTGTGTCGCGACCACGGAAGAAAAAAGCAATGGAAGGAATGCGTTAAGCCTCGATTACTATCGGACCCGCTGTCGCTAAAACGCAAACAAGCAAATAATAAACACTATGAAATATTGACAATGACTGGTCATAGTTTCTAATTTAAAAAGTTGTAACAAATTCTGGATTCATTAACATAATTTAAACTTTACCCAGTCGCTACATCGTTGGAAGGTCTGTATTGCAACCTTTTTTGCAAGTTGCGCCGTTTTGATTATAAATTGAAATTTTATTCAATGTGCTGCCATCTTGCGGCCAGAAGCTGGACTACGACGAACGATTAACTTCTGAACGAATAGATAATCAGAAAATTGAAAATATTAAAACATTACTGAAGATTTGAAATGCTACTACGGGTAACATTTTTGGTAAAATAGTACATTTTGGAGTGCAAAAATGATAGCTTCATAAAGCATTTTTCTACGATTTTTTCGACGACGAATGACAAAACCATACCATACAATACGAAAATCGCGGACTGAGCTCAAGTAGGTCTTTCGAGACCTATAATTTCTACTGAATCAATTCAATAAACAGAAAATTGAAAATGTATTAAAATAAGACTTACCGATAATACGGAATACTACTACGGGTAATATTTTTGGTGTGGCTTTCATTTTTGCACTATAATACTATATATACATTGACTTACAAATAAAATGCTGCCATATCATAAAAAGCGAAAATGGCGGACTGAGCTCAAGTCTTCCGAAACCTAATGTTGGCATGCGTCGACGAGAACAATAAATACAGTAGAAGTGGTTACTTCTACTGTATTTATTGTTCTGTGTGCGCGACGATTCCGCCATCGTCACGGTTGGAAGACTCAGTGCGA